ACCTCACCCCACCTCTTGCTCCCGCGATATACATACTTTTGCAAAGCGCCAGTATTTGACGTGTTACTTCTGGGTATGTGCAGTACATGTAGTGGATCAGACCCTGCTTTAATCTACACTGCGTTCAAAGTGATTCGGCCGATATGGGCGTTAACAGGTTTGATTTAAACATATTTTACTGGAAATGTAATGTAATGTATGTATGTATGTGCGTGCGTGCGTGCGTGCGTGCGTATATAGAATACTGAAAATACACTTGTAATTTTATGAATTTAATGAAACTCATGTAGAGTTCTTTCGCTCGTCATAAAATTTCGTTTCATAAATTGGTATTACACGGAAGCCAGTTTAGTATTTTATTTATTACTTGCCGTTGATAACGTTTCCAAATTTCACATTAGTGTGTGAATAGACAGACATCTACGCAATCCGCAGTCATTTACTTGACTAGCGCTAAGGTTATCGAAATACCCATAGACTCTCGACTGCCTATGCGCTACCGATCGCCTGGTCCTGCGCCACAATGTTTACAATACGTCTCAATACCCTATGACGTAGTTTGTGGAATTCTGTTGCAAGCCATGTGACGTCAGCCTGGCAACAGGGTTGCTGGGGTCATCGAGCATGCATAGGATCGTCTCTGTGATCTAAAATCTCTCCACGCAATGTCATTGAATAAGCCCAGGGATATTGGGAGTGTTCAATGTTTTTTAAGTGAAACTTGTTCCCGCAGTCAAACACTGGTATTACACAATGTGTAATACAACTAAATGTTTATTAAACGGGTGATCTCTTCACGGTCGAGTAATGAATGTATGTATGTATGTATGCCTGTGTATAAGTGTACATTTATATAACAAATACGTAGCGTTAATATCGCAGTAGGTAGTAAAACGATGACAATGTTGGACATTTAGAATTTCAGTAACACGCGGAAGCTAGAGAATAATTACTTAACCGTGATATTTACATGATATATTATTTACAACAATAAAATATATAATACAAAATATGACTGCGGCTATTGTACTATAGCAATATATTACATATGCAAGCAACATGGAAGACGTGATACAATAGAGAAGTAGTGATCAATACTTCTTCTTAATTAATTAATATATTGATTGACATCGTTAAAATATTAAATATTTTGTTCTTCAGATTGAATTTCGTTACCATTTAGAATTTTGCCGTATTAGGCTTAGACCCCATATTAATAATGCTAATAGACAAAGGTTGTCTAATTAATGTTTATTTGTTACATTCGGGAAATGTTTTCCAAAGGTGAACAGCAAAAGCAAAAAATAATGTGAGGCAAATTAACCCTGAACACCTCATCATTCAGATTGCTACATGTACATCTACGTAGCTCTGATAACATGCGGATGAATTCTTGTTTTTAATTCAGCGATTGTACCATTTCCATTTTGTGAATTCCATTCCTTTACCGAATGTATATTAACGGACACGGATTCTGTGCTTCATATAAAGTGGTGAAATGTTATGTTGTTGAAATGAACAACATAATACTGGGTGTTTTGTCTGGTCAAGGTTTTATCATGACAAGTTTATTGACAACACCCGTACCTGGTAGCAGGAGACAGAGGGACACGCCCTGAAAGAGGGATGGTGTAACAACTCAATTAACAAAGTCAATATCGTAGACGTCTCTCCATCTAATCCCAGACATATTAAATGGGGAAGAGGTCCGGAGAAACAGCCAGCCATGGTAGTACCACAATGTTATCCTGCCACAAACAATCTGTTGCAACTCGTGCAACGTGTGGGCGGGCATCAGCCTCGTGCAAAGTGAACTTACGTCTCTGCATTTGCACGACCATCAGAGCTGTCAAGTTTCCCCTGGACTCATCTGTGAGCAGTTGTAACGCCCATTCTGGTCTTCTTAACCTCAGATCCTCAGATCATGTTAGGCATGCCTGACAGTGACATGGAGTGGCCATTGGGCCTATCGCTGGACGTTCCAGCTTCAGAATCTGAAAATGATCTAAAAATTCGGGAACTGTGTTTATCAGTGAGCAAAAGCGGCTGACTTAAGAATCCTTTTCCAATATTTAGAACTGTTTTCATTCATTTGTGTAGACAATGATCAATCCAAGTTTATATAAAAAAATACTTTGCAACTTTCCTCAAACCTTCACTTTGTTTCCATGTTTTCAATATTTTGAAAAATCGCGTCGCGTTGCATTTTCATTTACTAGTTGAAAGGTGTAGTCGGGTACCTGTACCGACAATATAAAAGGGTTTTTTGCTGTTAAAAGTGCAGGCAGGTTGTCAATTGCCCTCAAATAGAAATACATGTAGAAATGAGCTGGACACAATTGATAACTGTTGCCAAGCTCCATGGTTGCTCTCCCATATTTGCCAAATAGTGTTACACCTTACAAAAGGTGACCGATTACAATATAGTTATTGTAAGAGCTAAGAACGTTGTACACATCTAGACTTGTAATTAGTGACTAAAAGCATTTTCTTTGAATGACGTCTTGGTGTTCTGCTCCGGAAATGGGAAACCGGATAGAGGATGGACACTGCTATAACCATTGCTATAAGTGATAGCAAGTCAATGAAGACCTAGCTTATTTCATGTACAATGTAGGGTATACCCTCTTCAAATTCGAGACGCACAGGTAGTATGTAGTTCATTGAACCTGACTACACAAAAAATCCGGTATATGATTTGGATACATGTTATTTAAAAACTTTGGTGGCCTGATGTTCGACAAACGGTGCGTCAAAACGCAGCCATTGTGGATTTGCAATGTCTTAAATGGCATTGTCTTCACACTTGTTCCAAAATGGCATGGCGGAAAATAGTAAAGCAAAATGCACGTGCAAGTTATGGCATTAGTAAGTCGTGGTAGTGGCTATAAAAAGGCACGCATGAGCCAATAATTAGTCATTCAATTGTCAACATTTTTCAAGATCGAAAATGCCGCGACTCAGCGCTGCTGATCGGAGAGTCGCTAAAGAGGGGAACCGCAGTCTTCGGTTGCACTTCAACGGCCACCACAGCACCATTTGCCGCCTTGGGATCGATACACACAGTTTAATTCCACTGCAGGCCGTCCGAGAAATGTCCGAGGCGAAGAGTTACCACCCCTGCACATGATCGCTACATTCGACTGTTCCACCTAAGTCACCGCAATGCCACAGCTACTGTAACTGCTCGACGCATACCTGGTTTGAGGAGGATATTGGACCAGACTGTCAGGAACCATCTTCGCGGGACTGGAATCCAACCCAGAAGACCAGTTATCGTCCCTGTTTTGTAGCACATCCATCGACAGCGACGCTTGCGTTGGTGCCATACCTTACAGTCTTTGAATTTGTGAAGCTTAAAACGAGTGTGGTTTAGCGATGAATCACGATTTCCTCTTCACCATTGAGATGGAAGACAACGTGTTTATCATCGTCGAAATGAGCGTTTTGCCCCACATTGTGGACGTGAATTCGACAATTTCGGTGGCGGTAGTGTCATGATGTGGGCGGTCATATCCTAAACCATGAGCCCTTACTTGGTTTGTGGTTCAGGGAAATTTGACAGTAAATCAATACATGAATCAAATCCTTCAACCTCGCCTTCTTCCAATCATTGACCGCCAGAGGCAGCTGTTTCAACAGGACAACGCTCCACTTCACACAGCTCGTGTCACGATAGACTACCTTCATAATGCACACAGCAACGACTTGCCCTGACCGTCGAGATCTCCAGATCTCAAACCAATTGAACACCTCTGGGATGAGTTCGATCGACGTGTACGTCAACGTAAAAACACGCCACAGACACTCCTACAACTGACCAAAGCATTACAAGCAGAATGGCGCAGAATTCCGCTGGACAGAATTTGTACACTTATCCAGTGAGTGCTGAGGAGATGCCAAGACGTGATAGCTGTCTGGGGCGCAACCTTGTGGCCTTATGTGACAAGACAATGAACAGTTTTCAATGCCTTTGTTCAACGACAACATGTGACTATCGAGCTCCAAAACGTCCTATTTGTATCAATGATATTAAATTAAATTTATCGACTTTATTAGGTACAATACATTTACTAAAATCTACCTGTGCGTTTCATTGTTTGAAGAGTGTATGTCTCTATTTCTTCAACGGGCTTTGCAAAAGTGTATTAACATAATGCATCTCAGAAATGATAGGCACATAATAATTAGCGGAGCAAGAGAAGCAAAAATAAATGCATACTTTATTCAGCATAATGAGCACCTGATGCTTGCTTTGAACCTGTTCCTGACGAGATCCATTCAATTTTAGTGTTCCTTTTTTGAAGTCTTTGATGATGCCCATGATTCTATACTTCTCATCCTCATCCGTCAAATCATACTGGTTCAGATCTTCCTGACAAAGATCTAGAAGCATTCTTCCAATAATTCTCTTTTTTTCAAATATGACAACAGTGTCCTCTGTCGGAGCAGGTTTTGAGCATGTTTAGATGTGGCCTTTATTGATCTGTTGAACCGATTTCAGTTTTATCATGCAATAGTTTACTGTTTTGTATTAAACGTTTATACATGTGTAATGGTACATGCATCTTAGGTGTTGATACAATTAATGATACTATGTTCCCGTGTGAACTGAAGTAAGATTTATCACACTATTTGCATGCTGAACGCATGAAATGTAACAGTGGCAGATTACCTAGAAGCTCCAGTGATTTGTGGACCCACGTTTGCGGTCATGGTCCTGTGTGGTTGTCTCCAGCAGCTACTGCAGCAATAGTTCCAGATTGAATTCTTTGGCCTGAAAACCAAATATTTACATGTAAAACAAATTGATTGTTAGGGATCCATTCATATAAATTTTAAATATGATTTTCTATTTTACCTTTGGAATCTGTTTCGGCAGATAATCGAGACGTAACGTTTTCAGTTTCCCCTTTGTCTGCCTCTTGCCAGTAGGTTCACACATGACATTCATACATTTTCTTTGATATGAACATTTTAATGTTTTTGAATGCTTGCAGAACTTTCACCTTGATAGTGAAGTCATACAAAGGAGATAGGCAACATGCCAAGAAAACGGTAAGAAATACGATGTTATGTAATAAATGATTGTTATAAATAATATAATAAATACTGATAACCTGTTAACCTTGTCCTGCATAACAGATTTCTGACATCAGATCAAATGACAAGAACTTTAAATAATGCCCCATACGGTCACATTAGCATGACCACCATATGTATGACAGTCTCCATTCGCAATGTCAGACAGTTCGCTCACCACTGACACAACGTTATAGGCAAGCTCGTTTGCTTTGATTCCTGCGTCATCAGTTTTGGAATCAACGGTAGTGGCAGTCAGTCCTGTTTCTATATTAGACCAGTGTCAATCGTTTCAAACATAATGGCCGCTGTTACCAAGCTGCCATGAACGGTTTGATAAGGATGTTCTAGTGGCGCATACTTGATTTGGTGTCAATTCTTTAATGCTCTGGGTGACATTATAGGTTCTGCAAGGACACCGGTACACGTTGTTGAGAATAAGAATAAGTTGGCCCACAGTGTGGTCCTGTGGATGAGGACTATACATCATATAAACGCTACGATCTTACAGGATATAACACACCTTTGAAATCTACCCAATTCATTAACGTGCTGTACACGGGCATATAAATTCAACATAAAAATAATCTTTTCTCATATAGTTTTTTTCTATACTGATACAGATAAGAATAATTTGATACATTTGGTTTCCCTTCAGATCCGGTAATACCGGTCACAGTCAATGCAAAGATGAAGCAACAGCTATGAGCGAAACGATTAGGTGAGGACAATGCGTTACTGGAAACTCTCTATTCATACAGGACAACAATGCTCGTCCACACCGTGAAAATGTGGGTTATGACTTATGGTTTATACACAGGCATATATATTGAACATTAAAATTACTCATAACTCTTGTAATAGGTTTTTTATACTGATACAGATAACAATATTTTGCTGCCTTTGAATTCTTTTCAGATCTGGTAATGCCTTTTTTGATCTAAGTAAAGATGAAGCAGCAGCTATTAGAAAAGAAGCATTATGATTTTAAGAAATATTGAAAGTCAGAAGCCGCAGAGCAGCAATCATGTGCTACAAAACTTCAAGTACAAATTGCACTTTACTCTGTAATAAGTTTATGACACTAATCCAGATAACAACATTTTGGGTTATTGGTCTTCTCTTTCAGACCCGGTAAAAGTAATCATGGTCAATCTTCCCCATCAGATGAAGCTATAAAAAAATGCTAAGGTAAGGACAATGTATGACAAGAAATGCTACAATCATACAGGGCAATAATGCTCTTCCACTCCGGGGAAATGTGGACAATGTCTTTACTTGGCATACATAGACATCTATATTGTACAGGAAAAGTACACATAGTTTTATTATATTGATATTAATAAATTTTGTTTCAGACCAAGTAAACCATATTTAGATCAATGTAAAGATGAAGCAACAGCTATCAGAGAAAGCATTCGGCTTTTAAGAGAAATTGAAATCAGAAGCCACAGAGCAGCCATCTTGTGCTACAAAACTTCAAGTGCAAATGAATGCTTATATATATTATTTGCAGTTATTAAAGTGATGGTCGTTGCTGTTTTTGGGATCATGACACACGAATATCTGTCGGAAATAGTAGAGGAAAATTTATCAAAAATCGTGTCATCGATAAAGCAGGCTCCAATTGTCGCACAGGTTATTGCAGGTATCCTGGCGATTTGCATTGTGTTTCTGGTAGCCAGTGAAGTCATATTATGAATACAGAAGCACACGTTACAACGTGGCAGCCGCAGGATGGCAAGCCTTTGGAGCTTAAGATCCGTGCTTTCCTGGCAACAGCAATTGAAAGCAAAGTTTCATCTGCTGTCTACAAGATCTTCATTAATGAATGTATTGAAAAAAGAGAAACAGTATGTCTTGCAGCTCGGCCAGATGAAACAATCTACAAGAAGTATGAAGAAGATATGAGCATCTATGATAGAGATGATAAAGTAAATGAACTACATGTAATACGAATAAATAAGTGTTTGTATTAAGTTTGATTGATTATTAAAGGCTAAAAACGTAAATATGGTTTCCTAAATTGTGTACATAACAGGGTTCTCCACTCCAGTGTAATTACATCATAAATCTACTCTGCCTCCTACATGTATATGTACTTGTCAACCATACTCTGTGCATCACTCGCTTCATAACGGTATTAGAACTTATACCAAAACGTCACTCTTTATTGTTATAAAGAAGTTGTTCATCCTATATATCTTATCCTTACTTAATTACAATGAGGTTACCTTGTAACATAGAAGTGACCTAAATAACAATCTGTTTCTGTATACACAACAATTCTCGTTTCACGGAATGAAAGTGTTTTGCACAAAGGTGCACAGCTCCGTCAGTTTTCCAAGGTCAGTTGATGGTAAAGTAGTCTCTTGTCATTCTCCAAAATCAGAAAACGCGATCAAGTCACTATCTCGTAATGTATACTACAGGCAGATTGTCCTGAAATATGCTTCACAGAAAACAAAAACAAACAAGCATAGATGTTAATATACACATGATAAAGTTACTTAAAATGGCAACATTGCATGCTTCTTTCTGTATCCTACATTATAAACTACATTATAAAATTCTAGAAAACCAATGTGACATCATAAATGAAATTCTTATACATGCAGGTAACAAAAGTATCCCACAAAGTGTGTTTAAGCTCTTTCTTAAACCATTTTGGAGACAAGATGGTCTTGATAACACACACTATCGTATGAGGGTGGCTCGAAGAGCTTGGATTCAAAATGGTACATCGAGAGATAAAGATTCAAACGAACGTATATCTTACAAAAATGAAAAAGGTGTTTTAGACGCCTTTATCGCAAATCCAAAAAAGGTAAAAGGAAGAAAGTCCTTACAGAAATAGAAAAATCATCTGAACTTGATATACATTCCTTTTACAAAACTGTAAGAAAGCGTGGTCACAAACTACAGATATGACAAAACTCAACTATGAGGGAGAGAGAGAGTGTCACAACACCCTCGGACATTTGTAAATTGTGGGGAAAATATTACTCTGATCTAGCTCAGCCATATTGCTCAGACACTTTTGATGAGAATTTTCGAAAAGAAATATCTTCTTCCCTAGAACATATTCACAAAGAGAAAGGGGCACATAATGAGGAACTAGAAAGACAATTTTCTACTGTAGAAATAAACGAAACTGTAAAAACACTGAGTAGAAACAAGTCCCCTGGGCCTGATAAAGTTACAAACGAGCATATAATTCACGGGAGTGAATCCTTGATAAGATATATATGTGCCCTGTTTAATGCTATGTTAAGACTACAATACATTCCTTTTAATTATAGACTAGGAATGGTCATTCCTATATACAAGTGTTAGAATGACAAATCGGATCTCCGAAACTATAGAGGTATAACCTTAACTTCATGCATTGGAAAGCTGTTTGAAAAGCTTATTGCTAAGCACCTTGAACTAAAACTAACAAAGACTAATCTTGATTTCCCTGACATGCTCCAGTTCGGCTTTAGGAAAGAACATTGGGCAATAATGTCCGTTTTTACCCTTATTGAAAGTATTCAATTTTACATAAAGCGAGATTTTACTGTATATGCTGCTTTCTTAGACAACGAAAAGGCTTTCGGCAGAATATGGCAGAACGGCCTTTATTTTTTATAAATTACACCAAATGGGTATCAGAGGAAATACATGGAAGTTATTAAACCATAGCTATACACATAGCCATGCTTTTGTTACTTATCAGGGTGAACAGTCAGATATATACCATTTAAGACAAGGTGTCGGACAAGGAAGAGTTCTCTCTGCTTGGTTCTTCTTAGTCTTTATTAATGACCTTATAACAGCCCTTAGACAAGCAAATAGTGGTATTTGTGTATTTGGTCTAGATATTCAAACTGTTTTGTTTGCAAACGACACAACTCTTGTTAGCACCTCACCACGAGGCTACAAAAAGCACTTGATACAGTACATTCATATGCCTCAAAGTGGCGACGAACGTATCACCCTTCAAAAAGTAATGTTGTTGTCTTCTCTAAGACAAAACAAAAGGGGTTAGATATTAACTGCAAACTTGATGATATAAATATAACAACCTCTGACTCTGTCATGTATGGTGGCATGCTGCTAACACATAACCTGTCATGTAAATCAAGTATTGAAAAATGTTGCCAAAAAGCAAGACAAAGTATTAATTCGTTAAAATCTGTGGGACTCAACAGATCTGAGCTACATCCAGCTACCAGTGTAAATATCTGTTTAAGAATGATATTAAAAACAAGATTTTACGGCTGCGAACTGCTCTTTGATATTAAGGGTCAAAACAATATTGTCATTGAAAATACTCAATGCTATTTCGCACGAACTGTACAAGGACTTGATAAAAGATCTCCATCAGAATCCACTATTGCTAATCTTTGGCTTTGGACAATGATCGGCAAGTGTAAACTTCAGCTGCTTGGCCGCTTATGTAACTTACCCTGTAACAATTTTTTGTTAAACATCTTTTTTGTGCATACAGTGCAAATCCAACTAATCCTAAATCTGTATGTGTACATTTATTATCAGTTCTTAACAAGTATAACCTACGAAACAACCTTTGTACATATGTAAGCTGTGGTGTATTTCCTACAAAGAGAAACTGGAAGCAACTGGTTAATCAAACCATTCATGAATATGAAGAAAATATGTGGCGCAGAAAAGTTTCTATCAATACAGGTCTTTCACGCTTCATGCTAATACACACTAAGCTCACTCACCATATATTATGGCAACTAGCATATCTGTACCCAGATCAGAGGTCAAGTTTAAAATTTTGTGTTAGAGTTTCATCACGAAACAAAACTTCCAGGGACTGTTTATTGTGTAACAAGCATGCCTTTGATTATGATTATCACATCATATTACATTGTGAGGCTCTACTGCAGGAAAGAAATTAACTGTTTCAAATTTTTTGTGTGAATACGTTTGATTTATTATGTATAATCTTCGGATTAACTTCTGGAGGAAATAAAGAATCTCTCTCTCTCTCTCTCTCTCTCTCTCTCTCTCTCTCTCTCTCGATGTTAATATACACATGATAAGTTACTTAAAATGGCAACATTGCATGCTTCTTTCTGTATCCTACATCATAAACTGCATTATAAAATCCTAGAAGGTGCCTTGGGGTATTGTCTCATTGTCGACCTTACAAAAACATAACGTCATCCTTCAATATCAAATCAAGTTTGCTGTAAATGATGAAAACCATTTTTCCTCCAAGACGTCAAAAGACGACAGCTGCCACACGTTCACTGAGACAAGTGAAGGTCCGAGGTGGAATAGGTCTTCATCAACCCATGCTTGCCTAAAAGGCGACTATGCTTGTCGGGATCGGATGGTCATGCTCGCTGACTTGGTTTATGCATGTCAGAGTGTCCCAATTACATGGATCGATGCTCGTGATGTCAATCACTGGATTTTCTGTATTGCGTTCCTTTAACAGACAAGTGTTAGAGGATTGCATGTAAAATAAATATAACTGTAAAATGAACGTATTTCCCTAATGCTACCGGGAGGGCAGATCATGCTTACGTGTACCCTTTTCGCGAACCATTGGTATCATGTCATCACTGATTATCGGTGGTCCATTCATATTTTTTTCACAGCTATTTTGCCTTTTACGCCAAATGCAATCTATTTCGGCTGACAATCTAGACTAGTTATTCTCTTGCATTGACAATATATATTTGGGGTGTTATATTATATTGCCGGAGTGCCGTGATATTGCTGGATTATTGCTAAAAGCGGCGTAAACCATACTCACTCACTCACTCACTCACTCGACGACGACAAGAAAGACACAGGCAAATCTCAGGCATGTAACGTCGAGAAAACATTAAAACAAAAATACATAAACATATGTAGTTGTAAAGTTCAAATTTGAAGTAGCTTTGGCCTGAGCGGTTATAAATTACTTATTATATGAAACTTGACTGTTACGCAGCTTTATCTCATTGTAGCCGTCAATAAATGTGGATCTGTTAAAATCACACTTGATTTGTTACAGTTCGAAGTGATTGAGAGTAAGATCGGCATGTGGCTTGACAAGCTGCTGAGGTGATAAATTGCCTGTAGAGAAGAAACATTGTGCAAAGATCAAATAATTTCAGCTGGAAGACATGTTATATTTTAGTGGAGAATCGCGATTCTGAACGAACGAAGAAGTGAATAATGGTTGTTGTATTTCTTTGGAGAATGAAATGAGTGATTGCTGGCGAAACTGACGCAAAAAAAAGCTACGAAAACACTTTCCATAATCAAAGGAAATTTCTGCTAAAAGTTATGGCTATCGTACGATTCCGACTTTGGCATAAGGATTATGAATCAGTATCAAATAAAGCTGATACCAGGTGTATTGAACGTGTATACCAATATTTTATTTTTCTTGTTTTTCTTGCTGCACGAAATGTGTTATCATAACAAATTACTACATATTGATCGATTTAAATCGATGATTCATATTCATGTCGACAAATTTCCAATTTCGAAACATATTTCTCACAAACTGTGTATTGCATATAGATCTCTAGTCTGTCATACAGGCCCTGAAACAAATACATCCAATGCAACCCATGTACAGAAGTGAGTCTCTGGGCTCCTTTGTGTTTCATTTCATAACTATATTTCAACAACGGTGTTTATCTGGAAAATATATTTCATTTCTGGACGCATGATCGGCTGTTTACGAAGCTGTGACTTGGCCAAAATCGTTGCTTATGATTTCAGTCACTGAATTGGCCTGGTTTTCCAAGCTGTCCAACAATAGCTGGGATATTGCTTTTTCGCAATAAATCTCCAACTTCAGAGAATACAATACACACGCAGATATTGATAGTCACTGACCTTAATGATGCCAATGATCTGTGTGCTTTGGGTCTTTGTAAATGCTGACCAACGACATTCTTTTTTTCTGAACACATTTCTACACATTGTACGTTTACAACGAGTGCAGTTCAAAACTGTGACTGATCCACGATATCGACCAGGTCACAGCTGTCGACCAGCCGATCTAACATAGCCCATTATTCACCCAGAAGTACATATGGATTCCTACATGTATTCTAACGTGATGCAGGAATTAGCCGTTCACCGCCTTGGTGAATCCAACGAGCATCGGTATTATGCTGACAAACCTATAGTGAGTTAGTTAGTTGGTATAACACCAACGAGTCACCTTTATGTTGGAGGAAAGCCCGAAGGTCTCAGATGTTTACCACTTTGGTGAAAGGACAAACCTGGAACCATAATCAAAGTGAATATGGTATTCTGGCACAATGAATACTTCAGACGGCACATGATCATGAGCAATCTTAAACCAGGAGAAATCGTTTGTCGTAACCATGGTTACATGTATTTGTCAGTGGAGGCGATCAATAAATTTTCTCTCCCATGTTACATGCACACTTGGCAAATGCCAGTATTCGACGTAACATTTCTGGATGTGTGCATACAGCTATTACATTAAACCGAGACATCGATCTGCATCATGTGCGAATGGATCGGTGGGCAGGATACGATGGATGCTAACAGGTAAAGCAGAACTTTTTAACGTTAAAAACACTTTCTTCATTGTTCTTTTTTTTAATCTGCATCAAGGCATAATGTAAGCTTTTGAATGTCTGTTAACAGGATGCGAAATATTATAAAAACAACGTGTTCCACTGACTCGAATAATACACATGCTTGCTCATTTGCCATTATTCCTAGGGGATTATGGGAAATTCTAGATTGCCAGCATCCCGTCTGTAGATAACCCATCGGTTGACCAGGCTCGTTGACTTCACTAACTGTGTTTTGTCTAGTGTTGTGAAGGCATAGGTCATTGTGCGTTCATAGTTGTTTACAAGCTGTTGTAATTTACCTGGGTTAGTTTGACTGCGACGTTAACCACCGACATCTAACCCCTATACGTATATTTTATTCATTAGATCTATATGAGCTTTTATTATCAATAATATATTGAACGACCTATTGACTGCCTATCGTATATTGTTCTCACATTTCATTGTACGTAAGGCTGGTGTTTTTTAATTTACATGGGTTATGAGTATGTTTGTAAATTATATCACACGGTTATACGCACGTTTATACAGACATTTCACAAATGCAATATTTTGGTTGTGCAGGCAAATATGGCCACACTTATCTATTTTGTTAGATGAAGTGCAAATGTAAAACATTGTTTCTCGAGCTCCTTTGGGGAGTGAAATATGAGTTTTCTTAAAGACCTATACTGTGGAAGCCATTTATATACATTGGCTTTTAGGCAAATACAGCGTGTCATGGAGAGATTATTTAATGTTGTTGCGATCATGTATTGATTACATATCATGTTTCTAACTAATAATATTTTGGAATCAAGTCAACGAAGACCTAGCTTTTTTCCTGTACAGTGTAGGGTATATATCTGTAGTGCTTGAACTGACTTTGCAACAGTGTATCAAAATAATGCATCTTAGAAATGATACTTTACTAAGCATAATGAGCAGCCTGATGTTTACTTTGAACCTGTTCCTGACCAGTTCCATTCAATTTAAGTGTTCCTTTTTATAATAAGTCTTTGATGATGCCCATGATTCTATACTTCTCGTCCTCATCCGTCAAATCATACTGTTTCAGATCTTCCTGGCAAAGATCTAGAAGCATTCTCTCTTTTGTCAAATATGGCAATAGTTTCTCCTTGTCGGAGCAGGTTTTGAACATCTTTAGATGAGGCCTTCATTGAATATGTTGAACCTATTTGATCATTTTATCATGCACTATTATACTGCTTTATATGAAACGTTCATACATTGGTAATGGCATATCGTTCTTAGGTGTTGATACCATTAATGATACTCTGTTTACTTTTAAACTGTAGTAAGTTTTATGACACTATTTGCATGCTGAATGCATGACATGTAACAGTGGTAGATTACTCGGATTTTCAGTGATTTGTGGACCCAAGTCTGCGGTCTTTGACCCTGCGTGATTGTCTCTAGTAGCTACAGCTCACAATAGTTCCAGATTGAATTTTTTGTATGTATCTTTAAAAACAAATTGATTGTTAGTAATCCATTCATATGATTTTCAAATATGATTTTCTATTTAACGTTTGGAATCTGTTTCGGCAGATAATCGAGGCGTTGACTTGTTCAATCGGCACTGAATGCATACCAAACGCAATACAACTACGCCCAACATAGGGATGTGCTCAGGTGCGGGTCCATGAGAAATGTCCTATTGTACCTCAAAAGTTGTGAAATGTAGACATAAAAGAATCGGGCTGCTGGAATATTGTTCTACATAAAGTTGTATATTGGCAGATTAAAGTCATCCCTCTTGTCATACAATATTGTGAATATGTTTTGTTAATCTGAATCGTTATAAATAGATCTAATTATCAAACAGATGGGTCACGTGTTCATATACACAAAAATGCACATTGGCTTTCATTTAATGCCATTGTGAATGTCTGGCGTCAGTTTACATGCAAACAGCTACACTACCGGTTGCCTCTTGCCAGTATGTTCATACATGTACGTGCCATTCATACATTTTCGTTGATGTGAACATGTTAATGTTTGCAGGACTGTCACCTTGATAGTGAAGTCATAGATCAAGGAGAAAAACCACATGCCAAGAACACGGTAAGAAATGTGATAAGGTTACCTCATACATAATTGTTATGAATAATATCGTACTGATACTAGTCACACAGAGAAAAATATATGAAGACACACACTGGAAACATAACATAACTTTAATAAGCATTTAATGACACACCTCATTCAATGCGACATAACATATAAATGACATATATATATTTCTGTATACAAAACAAAGTAACACTCTGGTTCATGAGAGAGCAAAAGTGGTCTCACGTCATTGTCACAATCCCAGATTTTTATGCAATATGCCGCAACGAAAACAAGGAAACAGTATACCAGATATAATTAATTCAATAATGATGGCAACATTACGCGCTCCTAAGAATAATTTAATACATTTGATTTCCCTTCAGATCCGGTAATACCGGTCACAGACAATGCAAAGATGAAGCAACAGGGATGAGTGAAACCATTAGGTGAGGACAATGTGTTACTGGAAACTCTTTATTCATACAGGACAACAATGCTCGTCCGCACTGTGAAAATGTGGTTTATGACTTATGATTGAAACGCAGGCATATATATTGAACATTAAAATTACACATAACTCATGTAATAGTTTCTTGATTCTAAAACAGATTACAATATTTTGCTGCATTTGAATTCTTTTCAGGTCTGGTGATGCATATTTCGATCAATGTAAAGATGAAGCAGCAGCTATTAGAAAAGAGGCATTATGATTTTAAGAAATATTGACGTCAGAAGCCGCAGAGCAGCAATCATGTGCTACAAAACTTCAAATACAAATTGCACTTTACTCTGTAATACGTTTATGACACTAATACAGATAACAACATTTTGGGTTATGTGGCTTCTGTTTCAGACCCGGTAAAAGTAATCATGGTCAATCTTCCACAACAGATGAAGCTACAAGAAAAATGTTGAGGTGAGGACAAGGTATGACAAGAAACGCAACAATCATTCAGGACGATAATGCATTTTCACCCCGGGGAAATGGGACAATGCCTTTCAGCAAAGCAAAGTATTCATAGTTTTATCATATTGATACAGATAACAAAGTGCTGATATGTCTCATTTTGTTTCAGACCAAGTAAACCGTATTTAGATCAATGTAAAGATGAAGCAACAGCTATCAGAGAAAGCATTAGGCTTTTAAGAGAAATTGAAGTCAGAAGCCGCAGAGCTGCCATCCTGTGCTACAAAACTTCAAGTGCAAATGAATGCTTATATATATTATTTGCAGTTATTAAAGTGATGGTCGTTGCTGTTGTTGGGATCATGACACACAAATATCTGTCGAAAATAGTAGAGGAAAATTTACCAGAAATCGTGTCATCGATAAAGCAGGCACCAATTGTCGCACAGGTTATTGCAGGTATCCTGGCGAGTTGCATTGTGTTTCTTGTTGCCAGTGAAGTTCTGAAGTCATATTATGAAGACAGAAGCACACGTTACAACGTGGCAGCCGCAGGGTGGCAAGCCTTAGAGCTTAAGATCCGTGCTTTCCTGGCAACAGCAATTGAAGGCAAAGTTTCATCTGCTGAATACAAGATCTTCATTAATGAATGTATTGAAAAAAGAGAGGAAATATGTATCAAAGCTCGTCCAGATGAAAAGATCTACAAGGAGTATGAAAAAGTTATGACCATATATGATAGAGATGAAAACGTAAATGATATACATGTTATACGAATAAATAAGTGTTTGTATTAAGTTTGATGGATTGATAAAGGCTACAAAAGTAAAAATTGTTCACTAAACCGTGTACAGACTTACGTATTTAAGAATATGTAAGTTAACCCTACATAAGTCGCTATCAAATAGGAGGTGTTCGCAAAAGGGTGATCGTATCCTGCCCCTGCATCCATTACACTTTGACCATATATTCTTGAAATTGAGTATTACTACTTACATGTCGTGCGCTGACAACACTAATTTTATTCTGAAATCTAAGAACTCTCTCCTGATCTTTTGATTTGTCTGGAATTCGATGTCAAGTTCAATATCCTTGTAACTAAAATGACTGTGCGTCGTGAAATCTATCCAGCCTTTAGGAAGGGCATGACAATATATTTACAGAAAAAAATGGTATTAGATTAGATAGATGTACATGTATAGGAGGTGTAAGTAAAAAAACTTCCCCTGACTTAATGTATTTAGTAACGAAAATGTAAATAAAAGCGACAAACGCTTTATTTATAAGAAATATCTGCCAATTACAGAGTCGATTGTACGATTCCGACTATATCACAAACATGTGTTCCTGAAGCACCATCAAATAGTGATGATGCCAGATGTTATCTAAATATATAGGTCGTTGAGCTGATATACTGACGTTTGTATATAAAAGCGACATGACCATTTCCATGAGCATAAGAAGTCTCTGCTGAAAGCAGATTCCAATGTACAATTCTGATTTCATCATAAGCATATCATATCCTGCCCCAAGTCAAGTGCTTGCTTATAATATACCGGTAATACGGGTGTCACATGTGCAACAAGCTGCATGCGTGTTGAAGTGGACAGAACATCTTCCCTGACAGCTGTTCAATCCCAGACTGTGTCATATCAGAAGACGTTAAACATTTCTCTTACGCTGCCTGGCGCTCGGCATTAAGAAGATGAGGCAGGGACTGGCCAGCTTGGAGTCAGTAAAATGTGTCTGTGTGGGCTATCCAAGTTAAACTGTGGCATGGTATATTGGGTTGTCAATAATATTTGAGTAGTACAAGCTGCCTCACTCACATGGACATGCACCTTGTTATATAAATCAAATATTCTTGAACATTACGTATCAGACGAATATATCATTCGGCACCACCTGCATGTTCCCGAAACCTATAACAAGGCTCGTCCCCTTCTCGAAGGCATGGCGAAGCGTCTAAACGGCGCAGGCCATTCAGAATGCATGTCAGGATATGGGTACTTGATTAATATAATACCGAGTATTTAAAGTAATTTTCGGAATACGCTTTTGTTTATAAAATGTTGATAAATGTAGATTGTTGGTTCCAAACCACAGTGTATACGGAGAACAGAACTGTGTTATATTAACTGATGTTCTTATTTGTAGAGCCATGTTGGTTGATTGATTTATATTTACACATGCACTTGTTTACATTCCGTTAACTGCGACTTCTGTTTCCTACTGCATCAAAATTACCCGCTAAGCTAATTGAAGATAGCATACGAAAGGCTCTTAGTATTGAGCAATTAAACCTGAGAGAAAAGTCTGAAGAAAACAACATTGGGAATAATTTAACTCCAGTATCTAACTTCAACCCTAATCATGAAAAAACATTGTCCACGCTGACAAATGACTGGTCCGTAAACGGTAAAAGCACTTCATGACTAAATATGACGTGCATGAATAACCATCTTGAAATGGGAAATGTCGCAACCGTCCCTTACCTGCCAGACGGCGGTGTGAAAGATAACGCTAGTTCTTTACCTAATGGATAGGATGTGAAAAAAGGCTGAAATCAACTTGAAATTCTTTGTCCTTTCTACGGATTTTATAAAAAACCTTTATCGTCAATTAATTAATGTTGGATCATAAAACACTGCAAACACGAAAACGTCGTTTGTTTTTCGTTTATGGTCATTGGACGGAAAAACGACGTCATTTGGACGCTTTCAAACCATCGTTTTTCCGTCCAAATAACGTCGTTATTTGACATCTGAATTTACAGGTTGAGAACGATATCATCAAGCTCCTCCATTTCTTGATTGACATTGACTTTGTCAATCAAGCAACAGCGTCTACCGGTATTTCATTGGTCAGTTCTCGCGTTTTAGATTACAGGCCGGAGTTTGACGCTGGCTCTAAAACTGTATCGTTTTGAAAGAAACAAGTAACTCCATTTAAATTGAAGAGGAGCCCCGGTGATATTGCTGATTCCGAGATGAACCTATTTTATGGATATCTAGGCTGCCACCCAAACAGATCCAAACGGGACCCGAAGCTTATTGTATGCTTTAAAGTCATATGGAGGTGGACCACAATTATACATGGTATTTAGGACTACTGTGTTCTTGCATTTACTTATAAGTCAGGGAAAAAAACTTAAAAGGAGAGTTGTTGAATAATACATGTATATGTATCAGATATTCATTAACGCATGTTATCTTTCTAAAGTCATATCTCATATATACTCAATTCTCATATAACCCTATAATGTTCATAGTATCAAAGTTTAATCAACAATATCAAGTGCAGCAATTTAAACTACTGAAACACCCAAACACAAGGCTGTTTTCAAGCGCTAAAAACTGTATCGGGGTGTCTTCAGAAATACAATGTCTTGCAATATTTACACTACGTATTTGAATGTTGATACTAAAGACAACAACTCATTACTTTTGCAGTGACAATATAACACTTATACACCTTTATTGGTAACTTTCATCAGTTTTGCTCTTCATTTTTATAACGTTGTTTTCGCATATACATGTAGCAATACCCGACTAGCCTGTCATTCATAATTATGGGGCCGTTTTAACTTACTCTGGTGTTCCTGAGCGAAGCTTATAGGCTTCGGTGTTGTACCCCTTTTTTTTCTGGTAATCCTATTATTACTTTATTTTTTTCTAATGACACCCTGTTCTCCGGATCACGGCTGCGTGACTATCCATAACAATTAAGATGAACATTCGGTTCAAGTAACTGAATGAGTTTGTGATTACATTTCTACCAGGTCGAACATCGCGGATGCTCATTTTCTACCTTAAGATAATCAGAGTTCATAAGCTAATCCATCTACGAATACCGTCCCGCTCTAAATGACCTTACTTGTTGTTAATTCAATCTACTTTACCCAACTCTCCTCCTGGATATTCCTGGTCCCCATGTACCTGGAAATCTCATTAATATATTCATGCGCGGCATTCTCCACCTTAAGAAGATCATAGTTAACATGCTTATTCTTCTACCATCCCGCTCAAGATGAATGTTTTATGTAATATCCAATAGCCCCCCCCCCCCCCCTCCCCACACACACACCCCAACACACACCCCAACACACACACACACACACACACACACACACACACACACACACACATACATTTTGCGTTACCAATCCCTGAATTGAGAAGACGTGCGTTACGAAGCTCCTCCAAGTCGTCATCAATACCCCTAAATACCTGAGATATTATTACCCCTCCAAAGCCGAATATACAATGTATATATTGTGCTTTCTTGAAAACAAATGTTATAATTGGATTAACACTTCCCTGGTAAAGTACAGATTCCCGTACGGGATTTGAACCCACACCGTTAGTAAGGCACACAAAGTCAGCGATCGAACACAGCCACCGAGCCTTCCACCAAAAATCCGAAAACTGTCCATACCACGTTCTTTGCCTCATAGCATTTATTCACTGGTGAAGGCGTAAGTATAAACTCCGAAACGTTGTGTTCCTCATAATAAAGACGTTGACATCCATATATTTTCTTCCTTATGTGTATCACTTCTTAATTGGGGCTGTTTGGATAGCCTAGTGGTTTAAGCGTTTGCTCGTCACACCGAAGACTCGGGTTCGATTCCCGACATGGGTACAATGTGTGAAGCCCATTTCTGGTTCTCTCCCCCCCCCCCCCCCCCCCCCCCCCCCTCTCAAAGGTCATACTGGCCGGGCATTAGGCATATCTACCCGAACTTCGTAGCCATTTTTATGCTGTACAATTCTTCTTCTTCTTTTTCTACACACACATTTAAATGAAACTAGACATAACTGCCTTTGTTCTGTAAATTTCACCAAGTTTCAGCTTTCGTCTCTTCCTTTCTGGAATGAGGTTTCACATTTGTAGAATGATCTCTCTTATCTGGCTGTGCCATCAACTTAACTGCCCTCACCCCCTGCAGTTTTCCCGACCCATATTGCCAAGCAGGTGACCCACAAGGAGGAATACGGCCCTCCCTCAGTTATACTGTGCCCAGCACAATATGTTGTGAATATGTAGCCTTGCTGTGGCCAAACATTTTGAAACAATTTGGCAAACTTTGATATGTACACAGCAAATATAATTCAGTTTTATTTCATCTTAATATCAGTTGAATCCTGTGAGGAGCCGTGTTAGAATAGGTCTTCAGCAACCCATGCCTGCCGTTAGAGGCGACTATGCTTGTCATAAGAGGCGACAAAAGGGATCGGGTGGTCAGGCTCGCTGACTTGGTTGATGCATGTCATTGTATATCAATTTCGTGGATCGATGCTCGTGATATCAATCACTGGATTGTCTGGTCCAGACTCCTACTTATTTTGTGGATACCATAACAATTAATCGAAGCAATAGATCGTTTGAGCTAGCATGAATATCAAAAATAATTAGCAAGTCGATAATCATAATTCCCTCGGTTGGTCCCACGTGAAATGTTCTTCATGAATACTGTAAATATTGAAATTAACGAAATAATAAGTCAGCACATCAATGCGAGTATAGAACCCTGACCTAAAATGCGTCATGACATTTATGAGAGAAGCCTTGCACAAATCATCGTAGGCTCACAATTCAATAATGCAGTATTGGCTGACAGACGTTCGACCGAATAATATCATTTCCTAACTTCAACTGTTCATCTAATTTCCATTAATTAATGTTACATACATGTAGTTAATATGTTCATGGATGTCTTCTCTGGATGTACAGTGTGGAGGACTACTTCAGTTGAGGATAATTAACATAAATAATGATGATATTATTATGATATTGTTGTCTTTATTATTCCTTTAGATTATTAAAAAAAGTTATTATGTTTTTTTATATTAAACATAGAGAAAGAGGTATGGAGATGGTGGAGATTATTTTTAGTATCGGCATTGTTAACATAATTCTTAAAGATATTATGTTTTGCTTGTTTGTTATTTAATGCCGCACTAAGCAAATTAAGGTTATTACAACATGCATACATTTAGGTTCAGTTGTATTATTACATTTGTATTATTTCGCAAATGTTACAGAGACCTGATAAAGTGATATAAAAATGTATAGTCGCTATTCTTAAAAGTAAGCATATGTTACATTTATCAACCAGAAATATTGCACACCAAAGGATAATATATATCAAGACACATTTAAAGCAATTAGAAATTGACATTTGATGATATAAGATAGCTACACGATAAATCGCAAAGAACAAAGACGAAGGAAGCGTTATTTCACGATAAAAAACATTATTCTATCATGACGTCATTTATGGAGATTCGAACATGCACTCGCAACTTGAGGACGTCGTTAATTTGACATTATTTGTGAGAGGCAAGTGTCTCGTGAGTTGTTCCCAATAGATGTAGCTGGGGAAGGTAGATATATGCAGTGTCCGAACAATCGAATTCGAAAGTGAGAGTGAAATGACAATCAGTATTGGGAAAAAAAGGTACAGATAATCGACGAGAAAATTGTGAGAATATGCGGGAAAAACCAAATTCAAACCCCCCTGTTCATAAAATGGATTTATCTGACATTGCCGCGGTCAGATTATATTCAGGGAGTCATCATTATTTTAGTACGGGGAAATATTTTTAAAGGGTGTATATGTTCCTAATTTTACACTCGTAAAGAGGCGGTACGTAATGTTGATATCCCATATAAGTAATAAACGAGTCATGATCGTTTTTTATCGTACAATAAACAACTCCCACTCGCCGTTTGTTTCTTATTACATGACCATATACACTGACATTATGTCTCATGTTGATCAGTTTACAAAAGCGGCAGAAACCTTTCCATTATCACAAGACACCCTTGCCAAAAGTAGCACCAACTTCACGATTCTGACAACACCAGGAGCATGTGTCATGATTCACCATAAAAAATGATGACATCGGGTGCTCGCGAGAAAAGGCGAGCTCACCCCGATCCACTAGTGGCACCCGCCACAAACACATGCAAAGGCAAGCCAATTGTTCCCCCGAAAAGGCACGGAAACATACAGTTCAAGTCAAAATAGAGAATTGCATCAGACATCATTTTGGTCATTGATACGTCAAACACGGAAATGCCGTCTACACGTCCAACACAAAGCCCAAGTGAGTATTGTTTTACGCCGCTTTCGGCAATATTCCAGCAACATTATGTCCAAAGCCCAAGCCAGCACCCAAATTATTTTAATCTGCCCAAACAACACCCTGAGCACGATGCTTGCCGAAAGCCTAAATCCTGTTAATTACATACCTTTTCCCCCAACCTAAAATAATCTATACTAGTTCTGAAGTAAATCGTATTTACCCGTGTGAAACGTTTTGTGTCATTTATTGCCGATGAACAGAATATGCACCCTTTTTGAAAGTAGTCTGTGATAAGTCACGCACCAAACGTATACTCTCGATATACATGTTGCTCTTACTTTAAAAAAACCTATTTGGTTAATAAGATAAGTATATTAAAGTGTCATGCATGCTTTCCTGCTGTCCTATCATTTTAATTTGAAATAATGACATAAAAAGTTACCACTCATCTTATATTTGAAATATATTTGAATATATATACAACAGCTATACTAACTTATCTTTATGCTTAAAAGCATCAGGTTTGTCTGTCATACAGACCCTGAAATAGATACAACCCAATATTTGGGTTCTTTTTATTATATTCTATAACTATTGT